TCTCTCTCTCTCTCTCTCTCTCTCTCTCTCTCTCTCTCTCTCTCTCTGAGGAGCCTCTTCTGTGCCTTCTTTACAAGCATGTTGGCATTCATAGTCCATGAGAGGTCCTCCGAGATATAAGTGCCCAGAAATTTAAAATTACCAACCCTTTCCACCTCCTCACCATTTATGTACAAAGGTAAACGTACATCTCTCTTCCTCCTGAAGTATAAGTTTTTTGATGTTAACTCCTAACTTAACTAGTTGTCTAAAGAGCCATGTTGGAAGGATGCCAAAGAGAAAATAACTTAATGCCATTCTTAATTTTAGAAAATCCAGAAAAAGATCAAATGAAGAATGATTTTTAGGTGCTCTTAATTTATGTTGATTGATTTGCAGCAGGATCCAAATTTTTATTGGTTTTATACCTGTGCACCATATTAAGGCAGTCTGCAAGATATAATTCATGATATTGTTTATTAAATGTTTGTCGCATATTTCCTTTGTAGAACCCCAATTTATTTGTCCAATTTATATGCTGCTCATCTTGCAGTTCAAGGCAACTCTCAGTGGCTTAATACTTTTATTACCTGTTGTGGTATTCTTGCAATACTTCAATACAATAGGTTAGGAAAAACAGTGATACACCCACACACGCATCACATAGATACACACACAAACATGTAACAGCAAATTGTATAACCCCCCCCCCCTATTTTTCCCCTTTTCTTTTGTAATTTTTAGACTTCAAACATGGAAAGGGAGCCAAGGGAGCCCTCATGCTCAAGATCTGCACAAGGTAAGAATGCTGAACACTAAAGAAAACTTTGGATTGTAACAGGATATTTAGAATTATAACTTTGAGAAGCAATTATGTTACTTTTCAAGAAAATAATTATGCTTTCCCCAACTTTACACTCTTTCTCTGCTTGTATATTGATCTGTTTTCTGTGCATCATCCTAATTTGTAATATTTTGTTGTTTGTAGATGAAACAAAGAGCAGAATTTAAGTCACTGCAGAGTGCAGATCTTTTAGATTGATTTAGGGATGTAGAAATTGCAATATGCTACAGCACGATGGCCAGTATATGAATAGGAAACTCCAGGAAACTCTAGAACTGTAGGCTAGACTCAGAAGTTGAGGAAAATAACCCAGGAGAAGGTAATGGCAATTATATTCCATGTTGATGGGGAAATTTCACAAACTTGTTCATGAATCCATCAGACATTGAACTGGACTTAAGAGAACTATAGAGTGAGACCAATAGTAGGTCTCCAACTTGGTTTTGCCATTTAAAGAAAAAAAAATACATTCCATTGTATGCCTTAATCAATGCTTTTTACTTGGTTTTCACCCAAATTCATAAGCTTTGCAAAAACTTCTATGAAAATTGTTATTGGAGTTAGGAGCACATACATTGCGGTGGCTCATGTAAGAGCTGTCAAGACAGCCTATAAGAGCTGTCAATCGCTAGATTTCTCCCCTTCAAGGTGAATCATTTTCAAAAACACAGCACTGCCCTCATAGCAATGAAGAGGAAACGGTGAACTAAGAAATCCATCTTTGGTCATTTTTCCTCCATTCATGATTTTAGGTATTTGGGAGAAGTTGATTCTACAATGACAATAATTGATGTTTCTATGCTGACTGTTTTTCTCCCTGATGCAGAAGACCTTACGAGGGTAAGCAAGCTTTGCATGGGGCTTGAAATGGCTGTTTCTGTAGTTTAGCAAAGATGCTGAATTAGAGAATGTGTTATAGTTAATGCCTATATGATTAAAACTGTGGAGAGAATGAATGAATATTCATTATTAGTAACTGAATCAATAAGATGCTGAATTTTATGACACATAAAAGGCATTATATTTTAATAAATCAGAAAAGTATATAACTGAAATTTCTCTGACAAATTAATAATATAAAAACTCTTTTTTGTTGTCTCCAAGTCTCTCAGGTGTACTTCCTGTGAACCTTGAAAATATTTTCAGATTTTGCTATAAATGTAACACAGTGCCAGTGCCAGGCTTCAGTTATCTGAAATTCCATGTACTTGAATCATCTGCAACTCCTGAAGTCAATGTCATATTTTCTTTCCTTTATTTAGCTTTCTGAAGGAGTGGACAGATACATCTCCAAGTATAAAGTTGACAATAATATGGCTCAGAAAGTAGCTGTTATCATTTACTTAGACAAGGTAAATACTTATGGAATCAATTTCTTTGAGTAATCACATGGTTGGTTGGTTGGTTTGCTAGGCAAACTCTGGAGTGTGTTATACTGAAAAAGATTGTGTATATTCAGCAAAATAAACCTACATAATCCATCATTAACTGCAACAGATCATGCTTCTCACATATATTTGTTAACAGGTTGGCAAAAAGTTCATCTATTTCTTCTGATTGGTTGGGTGGTCTATAGTATACACCTATGGCAATGTCACTTGTTTTTCCTTTTATATTGACCCATATACAAGTTTTTATCTTTGATCATCATGGGCTTTTCTGTAGATATATAATGATCTCTTTACATATAGTGCAACTCCACTTCCTCTTTTTGTAGATCTGTTTCTTTTGAACAATTTGTATCTATCCATCAATGCATTCCAGTCATGAGTTTCACCCCACCAAATTTTTGGAATGGCAACTATATCATACTGACCCTCATATATTATTGCTTCTAGTTCATCCTGCTTGGTTATTTCAAGAATTAAAAATATATGTAAAAGTAGGAGATTTTGTCTCAATATATATTTGGAGAAAAGAGAAAAAACGTTTCATTTTTAGTTCATTTAAGGATATAGAAGATTTTGTCACAGTTTTTCAACAATTTTTTTTAAAAAATGTAATAGTTCATTTAAAGTTTTTAAAATTTAAAAGTTTCAAAGTTTAAAATTTGAAAATCCTTTTTTGTTGTTGGTGGTATAGTGCTTTGCTCTTAGCCTTTTTTCTCTTTTCTGTTCTAAGTAATTATCCTTATTTTTTATCCTTTTTTCCTGCCAATTTGAGTACATTTTTCTACCTTGCTATTTATTTAATTTTTCTTACTATTAAGCAAGAATTAATCTTATTTATCTTTTTCTTTTCTTTCCTTTCTTTTTTGAGCTCTTATTCCTCCCTACATTATTTATTTGTTTAAAATTTGCTTTATTTATTTGATTAATCTTTATTAATCCTATTTTAATCCTATTAGGGTTTTCACTTTTATTTTTTTGTCTTCACTTCTGTCATTTGCTGCTCTGGCTGCTTGTCACTTTCTCTGTCACCTCCTTTCTGTCCTTCAGCGGTCAGGTCTTTTCGGTCTTTGTCAGTTCTGCTTGGCCAGACGTTCAGCTCTCTGGTCGGCTCTGTTTTCTCCGGTCAACCCCACTGTCTAGTGTGCTCCACTCAGCCCACCACTCGGCTTAAGGAACAGAGCTCTCTAACTCGGTGCACCTCTGCTGCTGTGTTGCCCATTTCTGCTGCTGCGATTCTCCCCCCGCCCCCATCCCAATTCTGCCATCACTGATTTCTCACAGCCACCAGTTCAATTTGTGGGATGGGTTGTTCAGCTAGCTAGACCCTTCGTCCTTTCTCAGGCAGATCACTGGGGAGGGATGCCGGGTAGCAGGAGGCAGGGGGACTGCTGATCTCACTGGGGAGGGATGTTGATCCAGTCCTCCACAACTCCTCTACCTAGGGCAGGTCTCTGAAGAGGGCTGCCAGGCTGGAAGGATGTTGTGGGGTGGGGGGGCTGCAGTAGTTGGGCTACCTCTAGATTGCTGGGCTCTGGGTCAGTCTGCATCTTTGAGTGGGGCTGCCTAGGCTGGAAACTATGTCTAGGTATTTAGTAAATACACCCACCCGTTTGCTGCCTCCAGCAGCTTCTTTTCTTGTCTGCCTTCCAGCTGCTGGTTCGCTGTTCTCAGCTGCCTCTTTTTCCAGCATTGGGCTGCTTAGCTGGGCTCCTGAGAGGGATCTATTGTTCTCGGTCACCGGCTGCCTCTGAATTTCAGTGTGCAGACATTTGTTCACTGTGCCGCTGTTTTCTTAGTGTTTTCCTCATTCCCCCACCCCAACTTCTTATTTTCCCTTTTCCTATCTATCTTCCTTATCTATTTATCTTTCTGCTCCTTTTTTCTCCCTTCCCCTTTCCCCCCTCCCCTTCTACTTTCCTGCTTAATTTAATAACTTTTCTCCCCATGATCGGATGCTACTTTCGTTGTTGCTGCCATCTTGGATATATTATGATTGCTAGAACTACATAGAAGTGTAACTCTAGCAATCATTCCAATAAAAACATCTTGCCTTGATAATCAGAGATTTTCTCCACTTGCATTTAACATTGGTACAAACAAACTGTGCCAGGACTTATTTTCTGATATACCTGTATATTGTTCCTGCATGTGGCTCCTGATTTCTGGTTAAGATAGACTGAAGGGGCCTTTCTTTGAATTCATGCTGAAACAATATTTTGAAGGGGATCTTCAACTCATGGGAAATTAGCCTTTAGCACCTATTCCTTTGGAGTGGGGTCCAGTGACTGTAGTGATTTAATAGAAGGGCAACAGGGGCAGGATGGCAAATGGCAGTGGGCTTGGCCAATTTTGTGCCAGTGTACTTTCCTGCTGACTTAAGATGGGGAAGAGAGCCAGGCCTGAGGAGAGGGGGGTTTAGCTGGCACATTGTTCCGGGGCCCATGGAACTCAAAGGGGGCCCATGAAGGAGACTTTTAAAAAATTTTTTACAAAACCAAATTTTTAAAAAGAAAAACAGCAGGGCTTTGGTCAACCTGGATGCGCCTGGGCGGGGGTGGGGGTGAGGGATGGTGGGAGTGGCTTGCAGGAAAACACTCCAAAGCTGGATCAAATCAACTCATTGGAGGGCAAATGGCAAGGAAGGAAGGAAGGCATGCCCTTCCCGTGCAGCAGCAGCAGCGATCGCCCTGCCCTCCTCCTCCTCCTCCTCCCTCTTTCTCCCCTTCTCCCCAGTTCTTGAAGAATCAACCTCCACTTCTCATCCTGTCAAAATCCTTCATGCCAAAAGGAAGGAGGGGCCACTGTTAGCTTAGTCAGAGGATCTGTGCACACCAGCCATGCCAAAGGGTAATTGGCAAGAGGTTTTAAAATGCAAGATAAACCAGAGGAGGAGGGGAGGCGGGCAAAGGAAGCGTCACTTTTCTTTCATTCGTATAGACTAGAGTGAATCATTCAGAATGATTCATCCTTCTCCCAGTCAGAAAAAAACCCATCTACTTGTGAGCTGCACGGACTCCAATGCCGTTTCTCCGTATTTTGTCCTCACCCCACCCCACCCCCGCTTTCCTATTTGCTTCTCTGCCCCCCTCTTTTTTAATTACCCTCTCGGTTGGTTAGGAGTTACATGACATCAGTGCAGAGTAAGGCGAAATCCACAGGATGGTGGAGAGGGGGAGGGGAGATGTTAACTTAATGTGTAGGTAAGAGGGCCCATATTCAGGGGTGGGATTCTACCAGTTCACACCTATTTGCTAGAACTGGTTGTTAACATTCTAAGCAGTTTGGAGAACCAGTTGTAATAACAAATTACTGGCCTAATCCTGTAAGGAAGGCAGGAAGGAAACATTCTGGTGTTGCTTACAGAACTGCCTCTCTGTTAACCCTTATTACGTTCTTGGCAGGACTAGACTTCTTGTCTCAGGAACGTCTCTGGAGTTTTTTTTCCCCCTCCTTTGCTGGTACTTTGCTTGTGTGGAGTGACCATTCAAAGTTACAATGGCACTGAAAAAAGTGACTTATGGCCATTTTTCACACTTATGACTGTTGCAGCATCCCCACAGTCATGAGAGGCCAGGCAAGGAGATGCGTGATATTGAATTGGCCACGCCCGGCCAGTAACATGACCACCAAGCCACATCCACCAACTAAGCCATGCTCACAGAACCAGTGGTTCAAAAAATTGAATCCCACCCCTGCCCATATTAGTCTTGTTCCAGCACTTAATAATCCCCTTGGCAGCCCTGAAGACAGCACTGTGTCTGGGCACTGGGGTTTGAGTTTACTTTATTGATTAGCCCTTGAGCCATATCGAAGTGTAGAGTTCCAGACACAAATTATTATTAAAATCTGATTAAAAACAATTTAAAATGAAACTGGAATAAAATGAATTTGGAATAAGTTTAAAGTGAAATTGGAATAAAATACAATAATTTAATATATAGATAAAATAAAATATGATAAAATTATATTTCAATGTCACCCCTACAATCTACCCCAATCAGTCCTACACATGCTGATCTCAACCAAATCATTTTGCTTAAGTACTGCGTTGTGTTAAATGTTACTTTGAGATTCTGGCCACACATAAGGTACGTTTTTTTTTCATATGGGGATCCCAATGGGTCATTCATTTGGTACATAGACCAAGGTACTTGTCTCTCACCCTCTTATACAGGGCACTGGAGAAACAGCCTAGGTCACCTAATGCTCTTTGGGTATATGCAGTGGTGGAATTCAATATTTTTTTTACCACTGGTTCTGTGGGCATGGCTTGGTGGGTGCGCTTTGTGCATGCATGCACGCACAGAGGGTTTCCTACTGACCTTCTCTTGCAATCCTGCACTCTCCCTGTATGTTCAACAGCAGATGCATGACAATCTGCTGTGCTGTGCAAAGCAGCTGAGCTTCAAAACCAGGAAATAAAGATCAGAATAGAGCCAGGGCGGGTGGACGGGCACAGCAGCTGATCGTCAGAGTAAACCGGTTCACTCACAGATGATCCTCAGAGTGACTGGTTTGGCCAAACCAGGCTGAACCGGTAGAATACCACCCTGGATACATGACAGAATAATGTGTTAATACTCTAACTTTTGACCAGTATTTTCTGAGACACCATTTCAACCTGCTGTTCCTCTCACCTTTTCCAATGATTCCCTTTATTCTGGGAAACCTGTACAGATTTGCAGAATTTAGTCCTTCAATCACTGGGTCAAACCTGAAGAACTTGGAATAAGCAGTTTCCTTGAGGTTATTCGGATGGAGTTTCGGGTGGGGAAAAATTATCTCCATGGGTAAACTGGCACCCACAAATGATCTTCTCTCTCCATCCCAGCTCTCCCACACTGAAGATGAATGCCTGCAATTTAAGATTCTCAAGCATTTTGAAATTGGCTTCATTCAGCCAGGATCAGTCAAGGTGTACAGCTACTACAATCTAGGTAATGGCAGATGTATTGAATACACCTTCCTCCTCCTAATTTCCCAACAACCACTCTGTGAAGTGAGTCAAGATTGTGAGAGAATGGCTTGGCCAAGGTCATCCAGTTGCTTTCATGGCTAAGGCGGGAATTTACTCATGGTCTCCCCCTTTCCAGCCTGGTGCGTTAACCATTAGACCACACTGGCTCTTTCCAAGGAACTCAATGGTACTGGAGCTAGGCAAACTAGGCAAAAAGCCCAACAACAATGGATAGTTGATAAAACATTATTGATTTTCCAAAAAAACTATTTATAACAATTTTATAAAAGCTGAAGTGAAGAATGTATCATTTGAATCATATCAATATTGAAGATATATTAAAGGTATATTAAAGATATATTAAACACAAAGCTCTGCCCAATACTCCGGCAGACTTCTGGTCCGAGTTTCCTTTGCTTGCCTTCTGAGCAGAGGTGGTGTTCAGCAGGTTCTGTCTAGTTCTGGAGAACCAGTAGCAGAAATTTTGAGTAGTTTGGAGAACCGGCAAATCCCACCTCTGACTGGCCCTGCCCGCATCTATTATCTGCCGACTGAGTCTCAGCTGATCGACTGAGTCTTCTTTGGTTGCCCTGCACAGGAGAACGGAGCTGGAAAGCAGGTTAGTGGGGTGGGAAGGAATGGGATTTTGCAGTAACTTTCCCCTGCCATGCCCACCAAGCCACGCCCATCAAGCCACACCATGCCCATGAAGCCACACCCACAGAACTGGTAGTTAAAAAAAAATTGAATCCCACCACTGCTTCTGAGGGGCAGAGAACAAAGCCAGTGATACCAAGATTTCTCTGCTCTGATGGGCAACGTGATGCTCATCTTAAGAGGGGAAAGTGGTACTGAGACTTTGGAAGCTGAGCTTGTCATGGCTGAGGAAGAGTTTTGCCATGCTAATAAGTATTTTGAAAGTTCATTATTTTTATTTCTGAATAGCATTTTCAGTGCAGCTCTTTAACCAGGAAGTGTGCAAGATCATGAAAATACTTCAGAGAAAATTACCTGTAAAACCTGTATATAGTAGGCACAATTGCAAAAAAAAAAGGATTTCTTTGGAAAACATACGCTCAAATGCATACACATTTCTGAAATGTTAAAAGTATACAAAATAATTGTTTAAAAAATCTCCAATCCAACTAATCAGACCTGACATATTTGCAAAGTTGAAAATGATGAGAAACTAGAACTGATAGACAACCGTGGCAAGTTCTAATTCGCTTTTGTTGGCTGCACAGATCAATGAACTGTGCTTTAATTTCAGGAAAGGACGTGCCCATCCAAGACCTTCTGCTGTGCAAAGGATTTGCACTGATTTTGTATAGACACAACACTAAGATCTCTTGCTGTGCCAAAGAGCTAGGGCAGGCTACCTAACTTGCCTGGAAGGTCAATCTGTCCCCACTTTGATCTCACTCTCACTAGGTCTTGTTAACTGCAGTGAAAATATGAGATTATTGGCCTGTAGCAGTGATGGGATTCAAAATTTTTTACTATCAGTTCTGTGGGCATGGCTTGGTGGGCGTGGCAGGGGGGGATACTGCAAAATCCCCATTCCCTCCCCATCCCACTAACCTGCTTTCCAGCTCCGTTCTCCATTGCAGGGCAACAAAAGAAGACCCAGCCAATCAGCTGGGACTTGGGAGGCAGAAAACAGATGGGGGTGGGGCCAGTCAGAGAAGTTATTCTCCAAACTACTCAAAATTTTCACTACTGGTTCTCCAGAACTGGTCAGAACCTGCTGAATACCACCTCTGGCCTGTAGTTTCACTTATAAGGCACTTGTAGTCTTTGCAGACATGGGACACTCAACCTTTCAAAGTTACAATGGTGCTAAAAATAATTTTGTGACTAACCTTTCAAATTACAACTATTGGCCTCAGTGATGTGATTGCTATTTGTATACTTCACAACCAGCATGCATGTTTCTTGGAACTTGTAGGATTGATATGGTACGGTTTGGAAAGTGGAAGTAAAATTGTAACTTGCAATCATGTTATTTTTCACTCTGCGACTGCATCTGTGAAGTTTGGAAGGTCGGGCTCATAAAGACGAGAGACTCCTGTTCAGTAACAACAGCTCTTTATTTTTCGGCGAGAACAAACTCAAAAGAATAGCAGCCGCGGTGGCTCTTTTATAGAGCTCGCCGGGGCTTGGCGGCCAATGACATTGCTTCAAGTCTCCCGCACTTGGTTTCGACCAATCGCGGCAGACTCTTAGCGAGCCAATCATAACTGCCCCGGTTGTCCAATCAGGTAGTGGTTGAAACGGACCAATGGGAATGCAGGGTTTCAAGTCTGCTAATATGGAACACCCCTCCCCTCTTGGTATCGTCCAAGGGGCGGGGTGACGTAGTCGCATAGGTGGGCGGTTCTCCGCACCTGCCTACTTGACTTGTGCGCTTCATTTAGTCTGGTCATCGGCCGGTTCGGATGGGCTCCGCAACGCTCTCAAACGTTCCGATGGAACTGCCTGGAAGGGTGAGCCAGGCCTATAGCTGTGACTCCCGCCTGGTTCACCCGGGTTGGTCGAGTCGTTCGCTCTGCTGCTCCTGCCTGGATTTTCTGGGCTGGTCGAGCTTGTCCAGCTACTCCTTTCAGGTGAAGCACCCGTCTGCAACGGCTCTGTGTATTCAGGTGAGTATGGTTGGTTTATTGTTTGGCTTCTGCCTGGGGGGTGTTCTGCTTGTGTTGAGTTTTTTTCTTTTTCCATGTTTGAGGTCCCCCCCCTCTCTAATTTCTTTGTTAAAGTCTGTGCTGGCTAGCCTTGACCATAGCTGGTCGATGTGGCACTTCCAGCTTCGCCCATTGGTTGTTTCTAGGCGGTATGACCAGGGGCCAGTTATTTGGGTGATTCATGCGGGTACCCAGAGAGGGTCCCCGGTGAAACTTTTCGCAAAGACGGTGTTGCCGATGTTGAATGCGCGATGTCGGCTAGTGGAGCCGGGGGGTTTCTCCGGATTATCAGTGGGATGCAGTCGGTCTAGTGGCGAGTGGAGTCTTCTGCCCATAAGTAGTTCTGCTGGGCATTTGTTAGTGGTTGTGTTAGGCATGATACGTTGTATCAGCAGCATTTTATTGATTTTTTCCTGGATATTGCCATCTTCAATTTTTTGTATGGTTTTTTTTGTAAGCTGAACCATTCGTTCCGCCCGCCCATTCACCGCTGGGTGAACGGGCAACGTTAATGCATGTCTTATGCCTCAGGCCTCCAGGTATTGTTCTAATGCCAATGCCATGAACTGTGGCCCATTGTCGGACACTATCACATCTGGCAAACCGTGTGTGGCAAAAAGTTTGTTAAGTTTAGCTATGACGGCCTCTGTTGTTGTTTTTTTCATAGTGCAAACTTCTAGCCAATTTGAATAGGCATCTACGATTATCAGAAATGTGTGTCCATGAGTGGGGCCGGCGAAATCAAGGTGAATTCGTGACCAGGGGCCTCTGGGTGTTTCCCATTCCAGGGGTGGTGCTGTGGGGGGTGGGGTGGATCGCGTATGTTGGCAACTGTTGCATGCGGCTACCCATGTTTCGATCTGCCTGTCCATCCCTGGCCACCAAGCATAACTTCTTGCCAGGGCTTTCATCCGGACGATGCCCGGGTGCCCTTCATGCAGCATGTCCAGTACTGTGGTTTGATGATCTCACGCTGGTCTCTTTGGTAAAAGTTGTGCCGGCGAATGAGGGTGGGCATGGCCGGAGTGTAGTGGTTTCGGAGGATGGGTTTGAGATCGTCCCAATCCATTGTCTTGACGTTTGGTTTCGCCAAAGCCTTGGCCATTTTAAACACGGTGGGCCTGCAGTGTGATAGGAATACAGCCTGTTTCCGGTTGCTGTTGGCGTCTTTCAGGTTGCTGCATTCCAAAAACATCTGGAACTGGTCGATGTAGGCCGGGTTAAAGGGTGCGGGTGGCGTGGTGTTGCTGGACATCTTGATGGCCGTTTTTGCACCGTTTGCCACGTGCTGGATTGTCTCGTTGTCACACAATCCCACCTTTGTCACCAGTGTTCAGTTCGGAAGGTCGGGCTCATAGAGACAAGGGACTCAGGTTAAGTGAACAACAGCCCTTTATTTACAGGCTAGATCCGAGTAAAAAAGCAGCACTCGTGGCGGCTCTTTTATAGAGCTCACCACGGCTTGGTGGCCAATGACACCGCTTTGAGTTTCCCGCGATTGGTTTCAACCAATCACGGTAGACTCCTAGCGAGCCAATCACGACCGCCCAGACTGTCCAATCACGTAACAGTTTAAGCGGGCCAATAGGAATGCAGGGTTTCAAGCCTGCTAATATGGAACACATGCCTTTTTTTTCTTTGGGGAAATCTGGGCTACATTTCTTCCTTTCACTGGAAAACTTGATGAAGACCCTTCTCAAGATGTCTGCATTTGCTTTCTTCCAGGGGGATATGAAATTGATCGTTCAGCTCCATCAGAAGGGACAATCTTCTCTCTCTTTTTGTCCTCTCAATCATATGATGCCATCAGTCTTCCTTGTTAGTGTCTTCCTCTTTCTTGCTGTGTTCATGTGGGTTATAGATTTCTGTCTTTATTATGATTTCTTCATTTTCATGGATAATTCTCAGAATAGTGAGTTATGCCTCATGCCCCTCAACTTTCTCTCGAAGCAATCCAAACAATTTACATTTGCTATAGCTATAATTTGAGTCCCCCTTGGGCTGGGATGCAATCATGGTACACACACCTTGTCTGTAACTACCATGCTAGTCTCTTTCTCCATGGCTTTGTTGTTCTTCATGCAAATGCTCCCAGGAAATCCAAGGCAAATGGAGTCTAGTTTTAACAATCTTTTCAATATTGCAGTCTTTTTCTTGTGGATGTGTTGGCGAGAACCCATGGGTGTGTTATGTGATGGATGCTGCAGGTTGCTGCATTCCAAAAACATCTGAAACCGGTCGATGTAGGACTCCCAGTCCTCAGTGGCTGGATTAAAGGGTGCGGGTGGCGTGGCATTGCTGGCCATCTTGATGGTTGTTTCACGCCATTTGCCACGTGCTGGATTGTCTCGTTGTCTTCTCTATCCCACCTTCGTCGCCAGTGTTAAGTTCAGAAGGTCGGGCTCATAAAGACGAGAGACTCCTGTTCAGTAACAACAGCTCTTTATTTTTCGGCGAGAACAAGCTCAAAAGAATAGCAGCCGCGGTGGCTCTTTTATAGAGCTCGCCAGGGCTTGGCGGCCAATGACATTGCTTCAATTCTCCCACGCTTGGTTTCAACCAATTGCGGCAGACTCTTAGTGAGCCAATCATAACTGCCCCGGTTGTCCAATCAGGTAGCGGTTGAAATGGACCAATGGGAATGCAGGGTTTCAAGTCTGCTAATATGGAACAGCATCTCTTTGCTTAATGACCAAGGGAAAACAGGTCATAAGTCCAGTTGCAGTCACAGGATTTTCTGCTTTGCAATCAAGTTGCCAGTCCCAGTTGTGGTCACTAAGTGAGGACTACTTTAATAATAATCTGTATTGGTATTAGTTTTGTTAATACCAGAGCCAGGGTTTTATATTTAATGTTGCACAGACGCTCCCTAAAATTAAAACCTTTAATACCACTACAAGACTTTGGTTTTTACAGAAAACCATAAGAATCATGAGTACAGGTAGTTCTTCAGCAAAAAAAAGGCAAGAATGAATAGCTATATGAATAGCTGGATTCAAACTTACAACCACATGACTTGCTTAAAGACCATGTGATTCACTTAACAACTATAGTAATTGACTTAATAAGCATCATAAAAATGGTTATAAAACGGAGTTCAGTCATGTGAAGACTCAACATGACAGCAACAATTTACGATCAAAATTCAGGGCTCAATTTTAATCATAAATCAAAACTATTTGTAGTCTATTTCATACAATCAAAAAGTGGCATCTACAGGAGGCATCAAGATAAGTTAGAATGACAAAAATAAGCATTGTGCTGTCACAGCCCCACTTTCTTATATTAAATGGGGCATTACATGCATGCCCAAAATATGCAACACATTGCCATTTTCATCTTTTTTGACAAAAGGAGCAGAATTCTGCAAGTATCCATGTTTCAACTTCCTAACTCCATTAGATAATGGGATATCCTCTCTTACATTTCTTGATGCATTGTAGCACTCTGCTTCTCGGGTAAATGCTGAACAAAACTCATTCTGTCAACCAACATTCTTGATAAGTTTCCATTGCACTGTCAGGTTAAGACACGCCCAAATTTGAAATCTCCTTGAGAATAATCTTTGTACTTCTAAATACAGGTCGTACTCCTTCACTTATGAACACTATTGAACCCAAAATTTATGTTGCTAAGTGAGACATTTGTTAAATGAGTTTTGCCCCATTTTTGACCTTTCTTGCCATAGTTGTTAAGCAAATCACTGCAGTTGTTAAGTGAGTAATACAGTTTTTAAGCGAATCTGGCTCCCGCTTTGATTTTGCTTGTGAAAAGGTCTCAAAAGGTGATTACATAACTCACACACACCGCAACTGTCATACATATGAACTAGTTGTCAAGTATCCGAATGTAAATCACATGACCATGGGGATTTTGCAATGGTCATAAGTGTGAAAAATTGTCATAAGTCACTTTTTCAGTGCTATTACAACTTTGAACAGTCATTAAATGAATGATTTTAAGTTGAGGACTAACTGTAATTAAATCTATACTCACCATAGTTTCTTGATGTGATATATAGATATAACTTTTAATTCTTTCATTAGATGAAAAACGTACCAAGTTCTACCATCCAGATAAAGGAACAGGCCTTATCAATAAGATATGTGATGGTAACGTTGGCCGATGTGCAGAAGGTAAGTTGGGAGAAATAAGGTAAATGTTCTCTCTGAGCACCAAAATGGAAGCATTGCAGAAGAGTTAGTATGGAATCTATGGCAAATATAAATTTAATTCAAATTTAATCAATGATAATTTTTCTCAATCTGAATCTGTTTGAAAACCTTGGACTCTGTACTCTGTAAAATAATATGAGGAGAGAGCTGCTGGATCTTAATAGTTGCAATACTTCATAAAATGCTTACTAAGGAGTTTACATGGGATTGAAGATTCATTGTTTCTATGCATTTCTATGTTTATTTATGAGCTGCCCCCCCTTTAAAATCCAACGTATGACTAAAGCAATTAATACCAAGGAAATAAAGTAAAACAAAAATGTATCCATACAATATGAATATTTAACAAATACCATTCTCCTGTGGGACATGCCCCTCTCCGATGACCATGGCCAGTTTCCTTCCATTTGCCTGTTACTCATTCTCCTGAGAATCAGTCAGCAGTTGGGCAAGCGACTGCAGATGATCAGAAGTTCGTACATCTTTCTCTTCTTCAACTCAGAGCATGTGTCTTTTGGCTCCCTGCTTCCCAGTTGTTCTGTCCCTCTCTCTCACACACAGGAGGAGATGAAGAGAAAAAACCGATTAGAAATGGTCAGGCAAGCTTCGTTTCTCTGCTATGCACCAATGAATGACATTAGGTGACAAAAATGAAGATTAGACAATCAGGGTGAAGTAGCAGGTTCTCAGAACATTGTGTCTAGATCCTGCTCATCTACAAATCTGTTGATTTCAGACTACTTCACGTATCATTGTCATGAAAATAATATAGAAAGCGGGAATATGATTTGATATTATATAAAGTGAAAGAAATTGCAATCCAAAACTAATCTGTAATCAACCACCAATAAATGGTGAAGCCATTAATAAGTCCTCATATGAGTGATGACAACTTCCAGATAATTTATTTATAGACTTCTTCTCAAAATGCAATTTACATGACATCTCATCAATGATTTATTCATACTTGAAAAAGGAGATACCAAAGATTGCTAGTACAGAGTTCATCGCAGTTACTGGATTTTTATTTCAGAGCATAATAAACCTTATGTCAGAGCTGCCGGATTTGCTTTTGAAAGACCTAGTGTTTCTTTTGCTCCTTAATACAGCACAATTCTTATCTGATTTTCTCTTCATAGAAAATAAGAAAGTTCATTTGATAAAGTAGACCACAATCTATTACTTGATAAGATAGAAAAATGTGGGTTAGACAGCATCACCAACAGATGGATTTGTAACTGGCTGACAAACCACGCTGAACATGTAGTCCTTAATGGAACTGCATGTACACGTAGGGAAGTATAGAGTGGGTAACCCAAGGTTCTGTCTTAGGCCCAGTATGCTTCAATAGCTTCACCAATTATTTAGATGAGTGGATTGATGGGGAACTCATCAAGCTGGCAGGAATAGCCAACACTCCAGAAGATAGGCTTAAAATACAGAAGGATCTTGATAGATTTGAACATTGAGTGCTATCTAACGAAATTCAATGGTGAAAAAAGTAAGATTCTACATTTAGGCAAGAAAAACCAAATTCACAGGTATAGTATAATATCTAGATCAATAGTAGTAACTGCAAGAGGTTACTACAAAAAGTAACTTGCAGTCTTAGTGGACAATCATGTAAATATGAGCCAGCAGTGTGCTGCAGCTGTCAAAAAAACCATCACAGACCTAAACTGCATTAACAGAAATATAGAATCAACATCACGTGAAGTGTTAATGTCACTTTAAAATGCCTTGATAAGACCACACTGGGAATACAGCATCCTATTTTGGTCACCATGATATAAAAAAGATGTTGAGATGTAGAAAGAGTGCAAAGAAAAGCAACAAAGATGATGATGAGATTGTAGGCTAAAACATATAAAGAACGTTTGCTGGAATTGGGACTGTCTAGTTTAATGAAAAGAAGGACTAGGAGTGACATGATAGCAGTGCTCCAATACCTAAGGGGCAGCCACATTCTCCAAAGCACCTAAAGGCAGAAAAAGCAAAGGATGAGAAGCAACCTAGAACTAAGGAGAAATTTACTCTAAGGAGAACAATTAACCAGTGGAATGACTTTGTTGCAATATCATGACACATCAGCAGGAAGTCACGTACACAGACAACCCAATACACATACAATACACATATAGGGCGACACTATAGGAACAGCAATGTGTAAAACCTGAGTCAGCTATAGCATAAGGATTAGCCATATATGGCAATGTTTCCTGTTCCTGTGTAAAACCTGAGTCAGCTATAGCATAAGGATTAGCCATATATGGCA